CCTCCTGCTCCCCCTCCTCTTCGTCCTCCTCATCCTCTTCCTCCTTCCCCCCTCCAACTTATGGTGGTGGCGTGGACAACAGGCCCATCAAAGACAGCCCGAGGGGACCCCAGGGACCCCGAAGATCGCCCTCCCAAGGACGGTGCCCCCGCGGCCCTGCAGCGCGCGGCCGCGCGCCCCGCCAACGCGCGCCCCGCGGGCCGGGCCGCCGCCTCGGCGCCGCCGCCCGAGCCCTGTCGCGCAGCCTCGTCTGAAGCGACTTCGTTCCTTTGGACGCCCAAAATGGGCACGGAAAAGATTGTACAATGCCCAACAAAAAATGTTGTCCCAACAGCGGCCGCTGTTGGGCAGGCGGCCTTCTGTCTCGAATTGACGCTAGCCGCAGGGGCGTGGGCAGCGAGTCCTGTTCACAGTGAACAAGAACTGCTGTTGGGCATTGTACCCATTGTTTCCGTACCCATTTCGTTCGTGCCGAGTTCCTCCTCCCTCCTGCTCTGCACTGCTGCTGGCCGCTGCCGTCTGAGGCCCCCGAGCCGCTCAGAGCGCGAAATGAGACCGCGCCCTCCGCGAGCCCTGCCGGGCAGCTCCGCCGAGCTCTCGCGCAGGATGGCTTATGTTGAGACATCCTCTACCGGGAGGGTGTAATGACCGAACTTGTGCCCGAAAATCCGCCCGAGTGTGACCAAAACTGGCGCCCGTATTTGTCCGAAAAGCGCCAGACTGTGTGACCGCACTTCTTGCCTCGAACCCCAAGCGATTTTCAACATCAGCCACAATTCTGGTCACACAGGGCTTTCGGTCGCGATTTCGGCCACGCTTTCGAGAGCCGATATTTTTAGGTCACGCTTGGCGGCGCGAACATCTGCAGGTAAGTCCCGCGACTTCTAAGAAGCAGGGGTACCTCTTAGACGCCTTCCCCCCTCCCCCTGCCCCCCTCTGCGCGTGGCCGACACGTGCACGTCGTTCACTTCTAATCGTGCTCATTCCTAATTGTGTTCGTTTCTAACTGTTCCTGGCCCCCTAGTGGCCAGGAAGGGGCCCAGGACAGAACAATTAGAAATGAAAGGATCTTGGCCCCCAAAAAATCAAAGAACTTTCGAATACTCAGAACTGAACAATGTGTACCTCTTCGGCTGATATGGGCCGGGCGCCATGCGCCCTGGGCAGTCCGACCGCGCCCTGCAGCAGGGCTGTGCCCGAGGACACGCCGCGCGCGGCGGCGCGGGTCGGGCGGGCGGGCGAAGGCGAGGGCGCGTGCGCGCAGAGGTCAAGGGGCCTACTGAGGCACAAGTAGATAGACACAAACTCAGGATTCACCAACAACTGCTCCCCACATCCCAAATGGGATTTGTGTTGTCTCCGCACACACCCCGGGTAGGAAGCTCACCCCGCCCCTCCCGCTCCACCGATCATCACGCTCCTATCACTAGCATCATCGTCAGCATCATCATCATCATCATCATCAGCATCATCATCGTCATGATCATCATGATCATCATGATCATGATGATGATCATCATCATCATCATCATCATCATCATCATCAGCATCATCATCATCATCATCGTCATCACCATCATCGCCACCACCACCACCACCAACATCACCACTATTTTCGTAACCGCCATCGTCAGCAGTCCTCACATCCAAAGTGGGATGTTTGTGTTATCTGGGCACCCCGCGCAGAAACAGGATCATCATCATCATCACCACCACCATCATCATCATCATCATCATCAGCACCATCATCACCTTCATAAACAACGTCACCCTCATCATCATCATCATCATCAGCATCATCATCATCCTCATCATCATCATCACCAACATCATCATCATCATCAGCATCATCACCATCATCATCATACAGTCTATCTTCCCCCTCATAATCCTCTCCTTCACCATCGTCATTACCATCGTCATCATGCTCACCAACACCAACATCACCACTACCTCCATACCATCGCGCTTGTCGACAAACATCGTCTTTACCATCATCACTGAACACACTCACTCACTCACTCGCTCACTCACTCGCTCACTCGCACACTCATGTAGCATGAGACTCGAGCGGAAGCCTGGCCTGTCAACGAATCACGGGGACGTCTGGAGCGGAAGCTCCTCCCTACGGGGTCCCCACCTCCATGGTCGAATCCGAGGCGGCCATCGGAAAACCCTGTAAGAAACTAACGTTTGGTGACACCTGGGAGCCTGAATCCAGAGGATGTCTCGTGCGGGAGCGTCGCCCTGAGCAAACTTGAAGGGTGCCACGGGCGTTCATTCGTTTGTGAATGAAGCACAGCGAAATCCCGAGCGGGAGCCCTTACCAATGGGGTCCCCACCTCTATGTTCGAATCCGGGGCGGTGATCCGAGAATCTTCTAAACACGCAGGTCTTGTTCCACCTGGGGGCCTGTACCCCAACTAAGTCTCGAGCGGGAGCCTCATTCCTGAGAAAGCTGAGAATGTCTGGGGCGCTCACTCGTCTGCGAACAGATCGCGAGGAAGTCTCGAGCGGGAGCCCAACCCTGTGGGGTCCCTACCTGGATGGTCGAATCCGAGGCGGCCACCGAGAAACAAAGTAAACACACAAGCTTGGTGACACCTTCGAGCCTGAATCCAGAGGACGTCTCGAGCGGGAGCCTCGCTCCTGAGCAAACTGAGGGGACGTCTCGGGCGCTCACTCGTCTGTGAGTGCATCGCGAGGAAGTCTCGAGCTGGAGCACCTCCCTACGCAGTCCCCACCTCCACGGTCGAATCCGAGACTATAATCGGAGAACCATGTAAAAACAAAGGTTGGTGACACCTCGGAGCCTGAACCCTCGGAACGTCTCGAGCGGGGGCCTCGTTCCCGAGCGAACTGAGAGGACGTCTTGGGCGCTGACTCGTCTGGGCCGGAATCACAAGAAAGCCTAGAGCGGGTGTCCCTCCTTTGGGGTTCACACCTCCATGTTCGAATCCAAGGCGGCCATCCGCAAACCATATTCCAAACAAGAAATAAACAACTGGAGGTTTGTGACACCTGGGAGCCTGAATCCCGGAGCAATCTCGAGCGGGAGCCTCGCTCCTGAGCAAACTGAGAAGATGCCTAGGGCGCTGGCCTGGAAGTGAATCGCGAGGAAGTCCCGAGCGGGAGCCCCTCCCGATGGGCCAACTTGCTTTATGTCATAAATCCGAGGCAACAGTTTGGATTCCCTGTAAAAGCTCATCTTTGGTGACATCTGGGAGCCTGAATCGTGGAAAAGTCTAGAGCGAGATCCTCGTTCCTCTGTCCAGCGTCCGTTGTAGTCCGAGGCGGTCATCCTAAATCAAGCTTCCAACCGTCGGCAAGGTCCAGCAGATACCAGATTTGAACAGAGCCTCCACAATTACAAGGACGCTGATAAGAGTTGCTTCCGGATCAATGTGAAGACTATCATGTGGTGTCCTACCGTCGGAGAAATCCGAGTTACTCGAGCCTACCTGTATCTCCCACGGGTACTGGACTTCCTTCTTCACCCTGTCTCTGCTCGTGCTAAGTCTTCGGCTCATGGAATGGGTGGCCAGGGCAAACGCCAATGAACTCCTGGGTGACCTCTGGGGGTGGTGAGTGCAGAATGGGCGGGTGGGACGGAGGCCCAGTTGCGATAATTCCACGGGAGCGCCTCGCAAGGAAGACGTTGGGTCCACGGTCGGGAACTTTTGCTCAGTGTGTCGCGGCGGCGCCCCCTGCGACACGCTAGTTCCTGTGAGCGGATAGCGTGTCGCTCCGCTTCGCGGGGCGGGAGGCTGGGAAAGGCTCGGGACGTCCATACCTGGGGACGGGGCGAGGTTAACGTATCGCGCCGAAGCGTGGTAAGCCAGAACCGGCGGAGCGACATGCTAATTAAGCCAAAGTTCCCGACCCTAGTCAATGGGAATCCAACCGCAGGCCACAACAAGCTAAGCCCAAGATCCCGACCCTAGAGAATGGGAATCCCGCCGCAGGCCAGCGCGTGCGGGGACGCTCGGAGGCCAGCTCCCCGTCGAGGAGAGCAATGTGCAGATCCGCTGTGGCGCGAGAGGCTGCCTCTGGCGATGATACTCGCGGGCGCACGTCGACCCAAGGCATCGCCCATGACCTCGGATCGACTCGGTTCCTCCTCCTCCGCCTCCTCCCCTATCCTCCTCTTCTTCCTCCTCCTCCTCCTCCTCCTCCTCCTCCTCCTCCTCTTCCTCCTCCTCCTCCTTCTCCTCCTCCTCCATCCGCCTCCTCCTCCTCCTCCTCCTCTTCCTCGTCCTCCTCCTCCTCCTCCTCCTCTTCCTTTCCTCCTCCTCCTCCTCCTTCTCCCTCCTCCTCCATCCGCCTCCTGCTCGTGCTCGTGCTCGTGTTCCTGCCTCTGCCTCCTGCTCCTACTCCTCCTCCTTCTCTCCTCCTCCTCCTCCTCCTCCTCCTCCTCCTCCTCCTCCACTCCTCCTCCTCCTCCTCCCGCCTCCTCCTCTCTCCTCTGCCTCCCTCCTCCTCCTCTCCGCCTCCTCCTCCTTCTCCTCCTCAGGCGAAGGCTGCGGACGGGTCTGTGCGAAGAACTGGGGCTCAATCCTCGGGAGCAGGTTAAATCCTCCGCCAAAGGTTCTGGAAGCCAGGAGGCCCAGCCGGTGTACCAGTGCAGCTCCTCACGCCAGCGCTTTAGGAAAACTTGAACCACGACAAGAACCACTATACGATGGAATCCTTTTGCCAGGGGTGGGCTGGCTCGTCTGGGGAAGGGGGTCGGCGGGTTGCGGGTCCTCCTCCTCCTCCTCCTCCTTTTCTTCCTCCTCCCCCTTCTCCTCTGGTCCTTCCTCTAATTACCTGTCGCCCCCCCCTTCTCCCCCTCCTTGGGGCTCCGCCCCTCCCCCCCCCCGCCCCTCCCCCCCGTCCTCCTTCTCCGTTCCTCCCTCTTCGTTTCCCCCCTCCTTGCTTCGCCTCCTCGGCACCCCGCCGCCCTCCCCATCCCCCCGAGCGCGCGGGGGAAGAGGGAGGCTGGGGCGTCCACGCGCGGCCTCCGCCGCAGCAGCGGGGGCCCACCTCCGCCGCCCCCCCTCTCTCTCTCGCTCTTCCCCCGCTCTCGGCCGCCGACCGCGGGCTTTTCAGCCGCGGGGCGGGGGGCGGGGCCCGCAAGGAGGGGCGGGCGCAGCCGCCGCCGCCGCCGTCGTCGCCGTCGTCGTCGTCGGCCGCGGCGGCGGCGGCGTCGTCGCGGTCGTCACTGCCGGGCGGGCCGCTGGCCGCGGGATGGGGGGGAAAGCCCACGGGGGGGGCGGGCGCAGCCGTCGTCTCGATGCGATCGCACGATTTCGAAGGAAATGCTGGAAGCATCGCGCGGCAACTTGCGAGCCGATTTGCCTCGGATCCAGGTGGGGTTCACGTCGGGTTTGCGTCGGAATGGCGCCGGATGTGCGTCGGATTCACGTCGGGCTTACGCGCGAACGTCGCCGCGCGGACGTCGACCATTTTTTGCGTGGCCGGCGTGTGGACTAGATCTCACTTCGGTGGTGACGAGCGTTCAGGCGCGTCGCGCCCCTTCGATGGACGTGGTGCGCCCTCTTGCGCGCGCCGCCTCAGTGGCAGAGCCCACTGCGGGCCGGCGTCGCCTGTGGCAGAGCCCACTGCGGCGCACGGAAAGGGGGCAGCGCTCGGGCATGGCACGCCTGAACGCACGGCCGCCGTCGAATCCAACGCGCGCAACACAGCGCGCCACGTGTGGGTGGGAAGGGCGACCGAAAAAGACAGCGGGCCTGCACGCTCCTGCATAATCCGCGGTCGCCTGCGCGGCGCCGCGGCGCGCAGCGGAGGCGCGCACGCGCGCGGACCTGCCCCGCGCGCGCGCCTGTCAATCGCGCCGCGCACGCTCGCTGGACGCGCGCCGCGCGCGCGGGGGCCTGCCGGCCGCGCGCCACTTCCCGCATGCCCCCCCGAAAGGCGCCCGCGAAGAAGCGAGCTTGTGCGCCCGCCGCAGTTCGATGGCGACGAGCGCCCAGGCGCGTCGCGCCCCGTCGATGGGCGCGGCGCGCCCCCTCGCGCGCGCCGCCCCAGTGACGGCGCCCGCTGCGGGGCGGCGCCGCCTCTGTGGCAGAGTCCACCGCGGCGCGCGGTGAGAGGGCAGCACGCGGGCACGTCGCCGACTGCCAACCCGAGTGCTGCCGCTGACGGCGCCAGACACCGAACCCATGCTGCGCGCGACGGCAGCTGCGCGCGGGCGCAGAATCATGGCCCGCTGACCGCCGAGGGCCGAGCTGGGAAACTGGGGGCGCGGATGCCAACGGCGCCGTCTGCATCGCAGCAGCGCGCTCGAGTTCCGGGCGGTCTGGGCGTTCTTTGAATGCCCTGGGCGACGAGGCGCCCGCCTTCAAGCTGTCGCCGAGGCGGCCGCCCGCCCTGCCGGCGGTCTCCGCGTGACCGCGCTGTAGACGCTCCGAGGTGAGCCCCTCTAGCTCAGGGGTGTCTGTGGTCCGCGCCGCTGGCCTCAGTTGGCGCGCCGCGACGGCCTGCGCTCGAATTAACTTCCCTATCCGCCATCCCGCGACGTAGGCCGACAAAAAGAGCCGCGCGCCCACCGGCGCGCTGCCCGCGGCGGCCACGGACGCGCGCGCTGGGCACGTCGACGGGCACTCCGTGCGCCAGCAGTCTCGCGTTACCGCGCACGGGCGCGGCGCGCCCCGGGCCCTTCGGACGGCAATCGAAAGGCAAAGGCGAAACAGATCACGCGCGGCGCGCGGAGCGTCGGGCCCGCCGCGCGAGACGGGAACCCAATTGGTCTCCGCGCGAAAAGTCACGCTGCGCGGGGCGTCAACGCAGGTCGCGATTCGAGATGGCCGCGCGGCTCCCCGACTTCCCGCGCCGAAGCAATCCGCATTCGGCCCGAGCACCTGCGCGCAGAGCGCGTCGCCAGCAATCGCGCTAGCACGTCGCCAGCAATCGCGCTAGCACGTCGCCCCCCGCACCTCGCAAGCCGCGCGCGGCGCGCGGACGCACTTGCAGAATGCGACGGCATGCCTGAAGGTGCACGACCGCGCCAGCAGACATTACGCATCTGGGTCCAGCTCGAAGCCCGCGCGGCGCAATCGGGCCTCGGCGACACAAGACCAGGACTTCTCCGCCGCCGTTGCCGCGCCCAGGGAGCGCCGGCGCGAGCCTGGCGGCGCGCGCGGGCGCCCCCGCTCGAGCCGCGACTGCGCGCCGTCGGTCACCGCCGCGACTCGCCCCCGCTGCCCCGAAGAATTCGCGTGCATTTTGCAGGACAGCAACGCTTTCGCACTCGGCTCCGCCACGAAGCTCCCCGCGCCGTCGCGCCTCTGGCTGCGCGCGGGCGGCGCGGGGGCGGGCGACGCTGACTCCGAGGAGCTGCTGTCGTCTGTTGTCGTCTGAGGACCCGTGGCTGCGGGCGCTCTGCGCGGCGCGCGGACGTTTGCAACTCCGCGCGGGCCCGCGGGCCCCAGACGGCGGCGGCCCCGCCGGGGCGGGGGCGCTTCCGAGTGGCCCAGCGGCGCGCGCAGGCCTCGCGCGCGCGTCGTTCGCAGCCTGCGCCAGGGGGGCGGGCGCCCAGAAGGCGCGCGAGCGCTCGCCCGCCCGGTCGCCGGCCCAGCCCCGGCAGTCTGGTGCCAAACGACAAGGCGCCCCTTGCCCTCGAAGAGCTTCATAGCTTTGCGCATAGCGGCTGCGCCAGACGAAGGAGGGCGACCATCGCCGTTAAGGCCCACGACAACGCCTGAGCTTCCTTCGCCCGAAAATGGCGCGCCGCGCGCCCCGCGAAACTCCCGCCGCGCGCGCGCGATGACCGACGATCGCGCGCAGCGCGCTGGCGCGACCGAGCGCCCGCAGCACGCGGCTTAGCCGCGATCGATGCGCCGAGCACGCAAACCTACGGGCGCCCCGCCGCCAGCGCGCAGAAAAATCTGCCTGCCAGCGCGACGTTGCGCGGAGACAAGGGGGCGCAGCTCCGCGCGCACTCGGGGGGGGGGGGAATATATATATGTATATATAAAACAAAAAAAAAACGCTGGCGAGCTGGGCTCGCAGACACTTGGGCGAAGCAAGACGGCGCGCGGCGCGCGCCGAGCTGCGCCGGGAGATTATACCCCTCGCGGCTTGGCAAGCCGGCGATGGTCACTTCGGTCGGCGCTCGCTCAATTATGACGCGCATGTCGCGTGCCCCGATCGCCGACCAGATTGCGTGAGCGAGAGCGCGATGCTCGGCTGCGGTCGCGCAGCAATTTGTCAGTATTGCTTCGGCGGTCGCGTTGTCGCTGAAGACTAACAGATCGCAGTCCCTCAGGAGGAATCCAAGGAGCAAGTGCCAAGAACCGCGGCCAAAACTTCGAGTCCAGAATTATTCGAATCGGCGCGCGGCGAAAAATGACTGCGCGCGACGGGCCGCGCGGCGCGCGCTGGCGCCCGGCGCGTCGGCGCCAGGCGCGCGCGGCTCACGATGTCGCAGGTTGTTTCCATGCCGCAGAAATGCCATCGACCATCACTCTGCCCCACCGCCGCAAGGCGCGGCGCGAACCACCGCGCGTCTGCGTGAGGACTGGCGCCTGCGCGTTGTCCTTGAACTTCCTTAATTTGACGACTCTTCTCGATGGCATGTCGCACCACCAGGAGAGCGAATCGCGCGCGTTGCCGCTCAGTCTGCCGTTGAACCCGCGCGCGCTGGGAGTGCGGGCGCGCCATGGCTCCCTCAACGCTCGTCAAGTGATGAGACGCCTCCCAAGAGTCCTGAGGGCGCCCCCGCGAGTTTGGAGGCGCCGCCTGCGAGACGGCGCGCGCGGCGTTTGCGCCCGTGCGCCGGCGAGACTGAGACCTGCCATCAATTCGATGCGTTGCATGGCCTCGGCGATTCAGCCCATCCATTTCCCGATTTGTCATCCGACGGCACCGCGCGCATCCCTGTCGGCGATAACTCGATGCGAAGCCCCAGGATGACTAGCGGATTTTCGCTTTCCTTCCCATGCTCGGCCAGCGCCGACGGGCCCAGAAGCGCCCGCACAAAGCAGACGTGACACTCAAAAGCGTGCGCCGCCTGCGCGCGCGGCGCGCGATGGCGCGGGCATGGCGCGCGCGCGCGGACTCCCGCCCCTGCCGCGCGTTCCTGCGTAGTCCGTGGTCATTTGCGTGGCGCCGCGGCGCGCGCTCGCCCCGCCGGGCCGCGCGCGCACCTGCCGCCCCCGCCTGCGCAGCGGAGGCGCGCGCGCGCGCGGACCTGCCCCGCGCGCGCGCCTGCCAATCGAGACGCGTGCACCTGCAGGGCGCGCGCCGCGCGTGCGCCTGCCGGCCGCGCGCTACTCCCCGATGCCCCCCCCCGGAGTGCGCCCGCCCGCGAACAAGCGTGTGCGCCCAGCACAATTAAGTAATGACGAGCGTCCAGGCGCGTCGCGCCCCGTCGATAGGCGTGACCCACATGCACCTGGACGCGCGCCGCATCAGCGTAGACAGCCCAGGAACCCAAAATGGACGTACGCGCCCAACCACGTGCACGAATGCAGCCCCCCAGTCCGCGAGGCCAGCCCCGCGTCACGAACGGTCGCGCAATGCGCACTTTGAAAACCAACGCGGGTTCCAAGTACGTGTACTCGGCTACAAGCAAGGGTGGCCATGGGCAAGAGTGACCTCTGGCGCGCGGCCTGCCAACGGCTTCGCGCGCTGCGACAATGGCGGGGCGCGTGCTGGGAACTACCCCCCACGCGCCCCCCGAAACCTGCGCGCCAAAGGTCACTCCTCCGAAAGGTCACTTGTGCTCCACTGTTGATGCATGCCGAGGCTGATTGACTGATTCTCCACCACCATACCACAGGGGAGGAGGAGGTGGATCATAAGGAAAAGAAGGAGGAGGAGGAGGAGGAGGAGGAGGAGGAGGAGGACCTCCCAATCCTTCCTTCTCCCCCGTCCGTCCTGTGATGGTGATGGTGGAACATTGGCCGAATTAGAAATAATTTTGCTCATCGGCATGAGGACCATGCGGGTGCCCGCCCGCCCGCCAACGTCTGCTGCCCCTCCCCAGCTTGCCTAGGTGGCAACATCCGAACCCTACACCACCGACCATCGATTCTCCTGAATCGATTGGAGGCCGAGGTCGGGTTCGGATTTCGCCACGTGTTCGGCGAAATCGGAGCCTTACCCCCGCCGCCCATCGAGTTGCCTGAAGCATCGATCGGCGAGGGTTGTCCTTGGATTTTGCCGCCTACTGCTGCCCCCCCCCCTGCCTCAATCGTCACGCCCCATATCCCTGCCTCCGTGGCCCTGCCAAGGCGGCGGTGCCTCCGCCTCCCTGCCGACACAGGCCGCCCCGGGTTCGGCCGACCCTCTCCCTCCTCCTCCTCCTCCTCCTCCTCCTCCTCCTCCTTCTCCTTCTCCTCCTCCTCCTGCTCCTCTTCGTTCTCCTCCTCCCAAGCACAAGCGGTGCGCGAACGGGCGCCCCCCCAGTTTGGCTCCAACTGGTCATGCAGCCACTCTCGGCGTCTCATCGCCGCATGCTTGTGGCACCCAGGAGATCCTGCAGCAATCACTGGCGTGGGTCTTGATGTGATCGATGGGTTGGCTAAAGCCGAGAGACATTCATGCAGACATGTGTTTTGCAGCAGCTTCCTCATCAATGCTGGCCACGTTTGTTTTTTCTTACTTCGTCCACGTCGCATTTGTGCTGGCAGGGTGCAGGCTGCGCCCTTGTGTACCTGAGTTTTCAAGTGTTCCTGTGCATAGATTTCGTGGTCCGTCCCAGGCTGCAAAGGCGATGTGCAATGAGAGGAGTCGCTTGCTTTTACCCATCCGTGTTGCTGTGACGACCGTCGTGGAAGACATCGGCCCCAGGGGGAGGGTTGATGGTGGGAGCCGCTGGCACCGCTGACATCTACCCACCCGCCTAAGGTCTGGGCGTAGTTCAGGCGAGCGGGTGTTGCTGTCACGAACGTCGCGGAGGACATCCGCCCCAAGTGCAGGGTCGATGGTGGGAGCCGCTGGCATTGACCCACCCACCCGCGACCTGGGAGTATTTCGAGCGTTGTGCTGGAGTGGTGGCTCTTGGTATGCCTTGGAAGGACGTGGAGCCCTCTCCGCATCCCGCCTTGTCCACTGTCGATTTCTCTAGCCTTATAGATGTATGGTCTATCCGTTTGATTCCACAGAGGCCTGGAACAGGTGAAGAGGTCAGTGCGGTCGTTTGTATTGATAGTGCGGGGATGTCTGTGGAGAAGGCAATCCCTTGTGGGGATTGCCCGATGACCAGTGATGAGTTACCACATCATCGTAGTGGTCAGCATCGACCCGATTTTACCTCAGCTGAACTTTGTCAACATCTACGGCTTTGACCGTGTACGTCTCCTACCACTCCCTCATCTAGTTGGAGATGTGCAAGACTGTCTTTTCATCATGCTCGTGTTCGTGTTCGTGCTCCTGCTGCTGCTCCTGCTCCTGCTCCTGCTCCTCCTCCTCCTCCCTCCAACATCCTCGTAGTCATCCCCAAATATCGTTTCTCGCTTCTGTTTTCTCGATTTCCGCTTCGCATCTCAAGCCGGGTTTTCCCATCTCCTCCTTTCCTCTCTGTCCTCCCTCACTTCCGTTCTCCCTTCCCTCTCTCCTCCTCTCCTTCCCCCCTCCCTCCTTCTCCTTCCTGACTACCTACCAGACCCCAACCCATACCGAAGACCCGAATTTGACTCGAATTTCGGGTTTGGGGGGGGTGGTACGGGTTCCATGTGTTTCTTGTTTAATGTTCCCCGACCCCCCCCCACTGGAAATGGAGGGCAAATTGAGGCCTTCGGGTTGGGTTGGGGTGGTTTGGTGGGTGGTGACTTCCCCCCCTCCTCCCTCATCCTTACCCCCTCCTCCTCCTCCTCCTCCTTCCCTCCGCTACGCCTGGGGTGGCCTGTGGTGCCACGCCGTGGCGCCCCCAGTGCGCTCTCCGGCCGCTGCGCCCCCATGCCCCGGGGAGCCCGACGCTTCGGGGGGGGGGGGGCCAACGGCCCAGCCTCGGGCGCGGGGGGCCGCGCCCGCCACGAGCGAGCGAGGCGCCGCCCCCAGCGGCCCTGCAGCCAGGTCTGCCTACCTTGCGCGTTCGACCATGGGAGGAGGAGGAGGAGGAGGAGGAGGAGGAGGAGGAGGAGGAGGAGGAGGAGGAGGAGGAGGATGAGGAGGAGGAGGAGGAGAAGGAGGAGGACCCCCCCTCGCCCATCGCTCCAGGGCCGTCTTCGGCGGTCTTCGAACGGTCTTCGGCGGTCTGCGGCTGTCGCCTGACGCTCTTCGGACGGTCTTCGGCGGCTTCCGGGGGTCTGTGCCGGTTTCCGGCGGTCCTCGGCGCGGAAGCTGGATGGTTGCGACCTGCCAGGGGTCCATGATCGAACACCTAAACTACCTACCAGACCACCCCAGCAGAACACGAAGACCCAAATTTCGGGTTGGGCGGGGTATACGGGTTCCGCACGTGTGTTATCAAGGTTCCTCGACGCCCCGCCCCACCACACTGGGACTCGAGTGCAGGTTGGAATGGTTTGGTGGGTGGTGATTGTCAGTCTCCCTCTGGTTACGGCGAAGCCAGGACGAAGATAACATCGGGCGAATCTCTGAGATCCGGCGCCGCCGCCATCTCAGAGCGTTCTGGAACGCTCTGCGAGCGCTCCGGGTCGCTCAGGAACGGATCTGTCCTCGCCCTAGCCCCGCCCGGCTGTGGCACCTGCTCCCTGCTCCTTCCGCTCCCGCTTCTCCGTTGGCGCCCCGATCTGCCAGGAGCCTCTGCATGCGTAGCATGCCGCGGCGGCGGCGGCCTCTGCGACACGCTGTGCCTTGCAGGCGGGTAGGGCGTCGCTCCGCTCCGCGGGGAGGCATGCCGGGAAGAGCTCGGAACGCTGATGCTTGGGGACCCGGACGTGCCTAGCGTGTCGCGTGGGAGCGTGGGGGGCCAGAATCGGCGGAGCGACACGCGAAGCCGAAGTTCCCGACCGTACGGGAGCGCCCGAAGATGGAGACGGACAGACCGGGGACGATGTCCGCAGTGGTTGCTGGGAGTGCCCAGGGCGTTTCTACTAAACGCTGGAAAAGTTGTGCTTGCCCGCTGGCGCTACTGTGGTAGATTACGGGTCTCCACCACGCATCGTTTTGAACCGTTTCCCTCGCCGATGCGACGGGGCGGTTTTGGTTATTACCACCTTCGTCCAACCCTGGGCCATCTGTTCGAAATTGATACTTTACTGCTGCTTTTCCAACCAGCTTCTAACGCGTATCCAAAACCTGGTTTTACTGTATCCAACGTTCGCCTTGATGTCTCTTGCAATCGACGGTGTCCAACAACGATATTGTCCAGGGCTGGCAGCGGCTGGTGCTAGGACGGCGACGGTCGTCCCGACTGGACGCATCCCTCCTTCTCTCCTTCCATCCTTCTGACCTCCCTCCTGTCCCTTGCTCCCAGATTTCAACTTTGCTGGCGCCACCATTAATATAATTATCAGGTACTGCGTGATTTCCCGTCTCTCCTTGGCAACCCCGCCCCCCTCCATGCGAAGCCTCTTGACAAAATGTCACGAGCAAAAACCCTGCTCCTCACACTCAGCCCCCCCTCCCTCAGCAACCCCGCCCCCCTCGACTCGCACTCTTGGGAGTGTCTGATCCCGACCTTCCCAAATGGCTCTTCCATCGTGGGGGCCATCGTCCAGGAACGGAGGCACCGGCCATAAGGCCTTAGCAATACATGACACCATCAAAAACCTTCCTCCGCACCAGCAAGAGGGGTACGTTGGAGGAGGAATCGGAGAAGGAGGAGGGGGAGAGGGAGGAGGTCCTCCGCTCTGCTCCTCCTCCCTCTCCTCCCCCCTTCCTCCTGATTCCTGGTGGCCGAAGAGATCGTCGATCGAAGCCCCTCCCTCTCCTCCCCGCCTCCTCTTCCTCCTCCTGCTCTGCCTCCCCCCCCGCGGCATCCCCGCCCCCCTCCACGCCCCGCCCACGCGGCGGCGTCTCCGCCCCTGGTCAGCACGTGAGGCCCGGGGCTCCACCTGCCGCGCGGGCGCGCCGGGCGCTGCCGGCCGCCCATCGAGGAGGAGGAGGGGAAGGGGAAGGAAGGAGGGGGGAGGCAGCGAGCGAGGAGGAGGAGGATGGGAGAGGACGAGGAGCGAGGGAGGGTATCGCACCTGCTTCGCGCCGCCTCGTCCCGCCCACTCTGCCAAGGTTGATTGCTCATCAAGATGTATCGCGCGGCTGCTTCTTTGAAAAAACGCACCAGCTGTGCAGCTCATGTCCGACAACGCAAATTTTCCCGGCAAAGCAACCTAACAGCGATGTGTAGAAGCATATCTGGAAGCATTCCCCTTAAGATTCAGATGAGAATCCAGCTGTAGAATTCTGCTGTTCTCGCAATCGTAGTCGCATTCGCGATGACAGTCGCAGTGGCAACGGCAGTCGCAGTCACAGCCTCAGCCTCAGCCTGCCTCAGCCTCAGCCTCAGCCTGCCTCAGCCTCAGCCTGCCTCAGCCTCAGCCTCAGCCTGCTTCAGCCTCAGCCTCAGTCTGCCTTCAGCCTCGGCCTCAGCCTCAGCCTGCCTCAGCCTCAGCCTGCATCAGCCTCAGCCTCAGCCTCAGCCTGCCTCAGCATCAGCCTGCCTCAGCCTCAGCCTCAGCCTGCCTCAGCCTCAGCCTCAGCCTGCTTCAGCCTCAGCCTCAGTCTGCCTTCAGCCTCGGCCTCAGCCTCAGCCTGCCTCAGCCTCAGCCTGCATCAGCCTCAGCCTCAGCCTCAGCCTGCCTCAGCATCAGCCTGCCTCAGCCTCAGCCTCAGCCTCAGCCTCAGCCTCAGCCTCAGCCTCAGCCTGCTTCAGCCTCAGCCTCAGTCTGCCTCAGCCTCGGCCTCAGCCTCAGCCTGCCTCAGCCTCAGCCTGCCTCAGCCTCAGCCTCAGCCTCAGCCTGCCTCAGCCTCAGCCTCAGCCTGCTTCAGCCTCAGCCTCAGTCTGCCTTCAGCCTCAGCCTCAGGCTCAGCCTGCTCAGCCTCAGCCTGCCTCAGCCTCAGCATCAGCCTGCCTCAGCATTCAAAATGTGGCCCGGGAATGGAATTCTGGGAACTCGAAGAACACGAAGTGGCCTACAGTTGGCTCCGGGCATTCAAAATCATGCCCAGGATGGAGTTCTGGGAACTCGAAGACCACGAAATGGCCTACAGTTGGCTCCGGGCATTGAAAATGTGGCCGATCGGGGCAGCCGGCCGGGGCAGCCGGCCGCCCTCCCCTCCTCCTCCTCCTCCTCCTCCTCCTCCTCCTCCTCCTCCTCCTCCTCCTCCTCCTCCTCCTCCTGGTCGTTTTCCCCCTCCCCTCCTCCTCCTCCTCCTCCTCCTCCTCCTCCTCTTCTTCCTCCTCCTCCTCCTCCTCCTCTCCTCCTCCTCCTCCTCCTCCTCCTCCTCCTCCTCCTGGTCGTCCCCCTCCTCCTCCTCCTGCTCGTCCTCCTCCTCCTGCTCGTCCTCCTCCTCCTCCTGCTCGTCCTCGTTCTCCTGCTCCTCCTCCTCCTCCTCCTCGTGCTCGTCCTCGTCCTCCTCGTCTTGCTCGTCCTCCTCCTCGTGCTCCGGGCATTGAACATGTGGCCGGGGAATGGAGTTCTGGGAACTCGAAGAGCACGACGTGGCCTACAGTTGGCTCCGGGCATTCAAAATGTGGCCCGGGAATGGAGTTCTGGGAACTCGAAGAGCACGAAGAGGCCTACAGTTGGCTCCGGGCATTCAAAATGTGGCCCGGGAATGGAGTTCTGGGAACTCGAAGACCACGACGTGGCCTACAGTTGGCTCTGGGCATTCAAAATGTGGCCGGGGAATGGAGTTCTGGGAACTCGAAGAGCACGAAGTGGCCTACAGTTGGCTCCGGGCATTCAGAATGTGGCCCGGGAATAGAGTTCTGGGACCTCGAAGACCACGAAGTGTGTACCTGTTTGCTTAAAACGACTTCCGCGGATTCTCCCCGGATCCTGCCCGGACCCCCCTGGGGAGTCATGATGCTTTCTTTTGAAGCCATTAGAAACCTATCAGTTTTCGCTGTTAGGTAAAAACGCCAGCCCTTTGGGCGACAGGTGGTCTGAGGGAGATCTTTCTCTTCTTCCACAACCCTTCTTTCCTTCGGGGAGGGGAACCCTCCCCCTCCCCTCCCTGAGGTTTTTTTGAGGTTTCGCGAGGTGTCGGAGGCTCCTGTTTCGGCCAGTGGGAGAGCCAACTTCTGTCACCCCTCACGAGGATCGTGGCCCCCCATGGGGGGACGAACATCGAGGACCCGCCCTCTTTTGACCGACCGCCTCCAAGGTGACCCCAAAAGGCCATCCAGGTCCCACGTGCGCGCCAAGAGGCCCCAAGAGGGCTCCAAGAGGCCTCCGAGAGGCCCCCAAGAGGCCCGCGAGTGGCCCCCAAGCGGCCTCATAGAGCTCAAGGTGGCAACGATGCCTCCCCAGGAGGCCGCCAAGAGGCATACATCCTTCAAAAGCTGAAAGAAAATAAGTGAATTTGGCCTTCTCGCCATTTTGCTTTCGATGGCCCTCCGAGGCTTCAAGATGACTCCAAGATGGCCCCATACGGCCCCAAGAGAAGCCCGAGAGAGCACCAAGACGGCCCCAAGAGCGCCCATGAGCGCTCTAAGAGCGCTCCAAGATGGGCCGACGATGCGATTTTGAGGGGCTCTCGAAGGGGGAAAGAAATTCAAGCTCCCCACGTCTTTGATCGATCTCCTCCAAAAAGCCCCAAGAGAGATCCCAAGGCCCCCAAGAGCGCCTCAAGACGCCTGAAGACGGCTCCGAATGCCCACGAAGGCCCCCCAGGAGGCCACCAAGAGGCCCAAATCCTTTTAAAATTGCAGAAAATCAGTGAATTTGGTCTTCTCGCCTTTTGGCTTTCGATGGCCGTGCGGGACCTCAGGATGGCTCCAAAAGAGTCCCAGGGAGCCCCAAGAGAGGCCCACGAGAGCCCCAAGACGGCCACAAGAGCGCCCAAGAGCGCCCCAAGAGTGCTCCAAGAGGGGTCCAAGAGGCGATGTTAGGCACTCTCGAGGGGCGACGCTAATTGAAGCTCCCCCTGCTGGGATCGATTCTTAGTCTTCGTAGTCATCCTCGTCCTCCTTCTCCTCGTATTGCTCCTCTTGCCTCCTCCCTCCTCCTCCTCCTCCTCCTCCTCCTCCTCCTCCTCCTCCTCCTCCTCCTCCTCCTCCTCCTCCTCCTCGCCTCCCCAAGCGGGCCCGGAGATGGCCCCAACAAGCCGTCCAGGCCGGCCTCCCTCGCTGTTTGACTACGCGTGTCTCTTCCCCTCTCCCCCCGTCAGCTCTCATGGGTATCGTTTCTGGATGGGCTGGTGGGGATACTTTTTTTGTCGCAACCGTAGGCGAAGGCGCCAGTGGCGAGTCGAGTCAGCTCGGGCCACGAGCGGAGCTGCTGGTGGGGTTACGTGAAGCGTCAAGAATTGCTCATCAAAATGTATCGCACGGCTTCTTCTTTGGAGACGAAGAACGCAACAGCTGTGGAGCTCATGTCCGATCAGATCAACGCAAAACGACAAGGAGGAAGAGAAGGAGGAGGCAGGAGGCCGATGATATGAGTGGAGACGCGAATGCTAGAAGGGGGGGGTGAAGGAAGACGCGGAGGAGTGCGGATGGGGAAGGTGGGAGTAAGGAGCGATGAGGAAGAGCAGGGAGGGGCAAACGGCGAAGGTGGATGGTTGTCCCCTGTCCGCCTCCTCCCTCTTCCAGACATGTGATTTTCACAGCGGCCCCCCCACACCAGAGATCTGCCCCCCGTCTTGGGGACCAGCTTGTTCGTCCCAAGCCGTGTGTTTGACGGCCCAAAAGAACGGTATGGGCCACAAGAGCCAGAAAACGGACGACACACATTGAAGATATGTTGTCGCAACCAAGGAAAGTCTGGACTCCTCAGATCTTCCCCTCCCACCTCCTCCTCTTCCTTCCATCTCCTCCTCCTCCTGCCTCATCCTCCTCCTCCGTCTCCTCCGTCTCCTCCTCCGTCTCCTCCGTCTCCTCCTCCTCCTCCTCCTCCTCCTCCTCCTCCTCCTCCTCCTCCTCCTCCTCCTCCTCCTCCTCTTCCTCTTTCCTTCTCATTATCATGCCCCTAGTCCTCCTGCTTCGTCGTCCATCCTGCTCCTCAGCCTGATCCTCATTATCCTCCTCCTTCTCCCCCTCCCCACAGTAAGGAGGCAGGACTGGCTCCAGGGGGGGGGGGAGGGAAACGTGGACCTGGGATTGGCGATGCCTCGCCGATGCAGTGGGCCATGGCCTATCCGACAGCGAGGCCGCGCGCTCCTGGCCGAGGTGGGGCACCCAGGCTGCGAGTGGCGATCAGTGCGCGAGCGGGGGTGGATGCGCCCCCCCCCCCCCCTCCCCCGCCCTCCCTCCGTCCTCCCCTCCCTGGGCCAAGCCCCGCCCGCCGTTGGCGCCCCTGGTCGGCACATGACGGGAACCAGGCAGTGCCACGGGGGGTCACCGCTCAGAGGGTCGCCCACATCCCCCGGGGCACGGACCCCGTGGAACCCCCACTGCCCCACTGCCCCCGAGGACTCCCAGAGGCGCCCCCAACACATCCAAGACCTCATCGACCTTCGGTCCTCCCTCCCTCCTCGACGCTCGACTTCCAGAAGGCCGTGGTGGCCCCTCTGGTGGTGATCCCCTTTGGCACTGCCCGAAGGAACGGGTCCCGAGGGAAACGGGCACTGCATCCTGGGAGAAAGGGGACAAATTGTCTCCATCCTGAAGTAGGTCGGATGTGAATGATGTCATGGCACGATGGGCCCAGGGTGCGATCCAAGACTTCCAGAGTACCTAGCTGCCCTCGCGCCTGGAGCCCGCGCGCAACATTTTGAGATCCTGGAAGCCCTGGAACGCATCACTCTCGTGACGTCTTGCTCCTCTGATGAAGACCCCCCGGAGGCGCAGTGAGGGCCCATGGAAGCCCGAAAACGGCAGAAACAAGTCTCCTCCTCCAGGGCGCGCTGCCCTCAGGACCGCTTTCTCTCCTTCGGCGGCGCGCCGAGATGGGAAACGAGGCAAGGGCAGGCCTCCTCAGAGGGCGGCGCCGCTGCGGAGAAGGCGCAGACAGCTTTTCGAAAGGCCGGAGGCCTTCTGAGCCTTCTGTTAGGTCGGGCATGTCCCCCTACAGGCGGATCTTGAAAGACAAATTTCAAATGGCCATAAAAACAAACGAAAACAATTCAAAGATACTCGAACATCGTCCCCAGACGATTTGTGGATCACCTGCGAATATTTCTCTCTGTAGAGGGACGTGCCCGACTCAAGCCTTCTGAAAAAAACGGCCTGGCCCCCACTGCGGGTTGCTCTCGGCTCACATCCCCCGGGCCTCCGACGGCCGTTCTCGGGGCGCTCCGGGGGCACCCCCGGGGAACGCTCTCTCGGCGAGGGGCAGCTGCTGGAGAATCATCCAGAAGGCGAGAGAACCTCCGGGAGAGAACGCAGGCTGGAACCCCGGAGAACCCCCCCAAGAAGCTCCAGGAGAGAGCGCAGGCTGGAACCCCGGAGAACTCGACGAAAACCTCCAGGAGAGAGCGAACAGCTCCCCGCAAGCCTTGCAGAGCCCATCAGCAGCTCCCCCTAACGCGCCTTCCCCTCCTCCCGAACTCACGGCGGCGGCCTCCTTCTCCTCTCGAACCCCTGGCGTGCGAGAGACCCCCCCCGCCGCCGAACGGCGGCGCCCCCCAGCCGCGGGCCGCGGGGCTCGAGGCGCCCGGCGCGCGCCTCCCGATGAGGCGAAGCCAGGACGAGGCCCTCTGAGATCCGGCGGATCCGGAGGACGTCCCAGGCGCGCGGCCTTCTCAGAGCGTTCGGGAGCGCTCCGAGTGCTCTCCAGGGCGCCCCGGGACGGCTTCATCCTCGTCCGAGTCCCGTCCGACCTGACCCCGCTCGGGCTCCAGCCTGCGCCGTGCCGCCGGCTTGATGAAGCCACAGACCCAGATCGCCGACGGTATGGTTTTGTTCGATTCCAGCGCTTTTTCGATGTCGGCCTCATGGGGCCCGTCAATCGGGCCCCGGGGCTATCGGAGATGGACCCGGGAGGGAAAACTACCCCTGGGGGAGGGGGTCGGCACCTCTGGAGCCACGTCAACCTCTCTCTCTCTCTCACACACACACACAGCAGGCCCCAGGGCCTCGGCCAGATCTGCACCTTTGCAGTCGCGAGGGCTTCGAGCGGGCTGCGCGTGAGGGCTGTGCACCTTCGCACGCGCCCTGCACGCCAGGTGAGGGGAACGAGGTTGTGGTAATTGCGTTGGAGGCGGGCTCCAAGCAGCAAGCCTCGATGGGGCTGATTGAGATCGAAAAGGACGCCTCTGCGGAGCTGTGGGTGCACGGCCAGGCAGCGTTCTGCCATGGCCTGTCTGGGATGCCTCGCTGGCTGTCCTCCCGCCGCCCCCCCCCGCCACCACAGTCGAACGAGCAGCCCCCTGCAGGGAGCTCTTCCCTCCTGCAAACTGTAGGTGCAGGGGCGTGGCGCCGAGGGCCGTTAGCCGGGGCCCGCGAGGCCGGGGAGAGAAGCCCAACTGCAGCGGAAAAGAGGAGCAAGAACATCATCACTTAAAGAAACCTGGGCCAGCTTTCTGGAAACTTCTTAAAACCAACCTGGCCAAGTTATTGCGTCAACGCTGGAGGGGCCAACGCGCTCAAGAAACTGAGCTAGCGTTCTGGCGAGTTGGTCGAGAAACGCTGGCCCAGCTTTTCGGGAGGAGGTTTCTTAAAATCAGATGCTCGACCGTGCTTAGAAAGCTGCGAGGTCTCGATCTGTGACAGCGCACCTTATCCACTGCCTGGCCCACGAAGACACGCCGCACGGCTTCTAGACTCGAGTCTCGGCGGCCGCGGGTTGCCGCCGCGCCCTCGTCTCTGCCCTCCCCTTCCTCCTCCTCCTCCTCCTCGATCCTCCTCCTCCTCCTCGATCCTCCTCGATCCTCCTCCTCGATCCTCCTCCTCCTCGATCCTCCTCGATCCTCCTTCTTTTTGTTCCTCCTCATCCTCCTCCACCTCCTCCTCCTCCTCCTGCTCCTCCTCCTCCTCTCCCAGCACTTCCTACGGTCGAAAACTGTTGCTTCGCTGTCGTGGCGGCCGCCCCGGCGACACACTGAGCCTTGCCATCGGATGGCGCGTCGCTGCGGTCGCTCTGCTCTGCGAAGCGGGGAGGGTGGAAGAGGCTCGGGACATTTGACGCCCGGGGGCCAGGACGTGGATAGCGTGTCGCGCCGAAGCGTGGTGGGCCACGAGCCGGCCGCGCGACACGCTACACACCAGAGTTCCCGACCGTGCACCCATGGCCACCAGATGCGGACAACGGCAATACCAAACTTCCTTCCCCTCCTCCTCCTCCTCCTTCTTCTCCTCGTTCACCTTCTCCGCCTCCTCCTCGTTCACCTTCTCCTCCTTTATCCAAGTTTTGGCTCAAGGCTGGCCTACAGGGCGTCCCTCCATTAGGCGACGGCGCGCGGCATCATGGCAGCACCAGTGGGTGCTGACAGCAGCATTGACAGCACGGCTGAAACCTTCGTCCGCGGTGTCGACGCAAGTGCGCCCTCGTTGGACGAAAGTAGGTGGCTCGAACTCCGCGCTCTGGGCGCGGCATGGCAAGGAAAGCGCCTCAAGCAGGACAACTTCGCGCGTGCGGGCACGGACATGCTGCCAGGGACAGTGCAGTACAGCTCGGGCCAGATGAGGAGTCCAAGATTTGAGTGCGCAGCCAGGTGCCCAGAGGCAAGGCGGCGGCGACTCGGATGAGCAAGATCTCCAAGCTTGGCAACATGCAGTCGCATCCTGACGCCAAGCAGCTCGTGGAGATCATGCGACTCTCCAAGACTCTCCAGCATAGCCAAGTTCGACACGCCGCAGCAGGATGACAATTCCACGGAAGCTGGCGACATCGACGTGGGAAACAACCTTCAGGTCATGCAGTGGCAGCTCTTGCTGAAACAGCTCGTGGGGGAGTCAATCGCGGTGGATATCGACGCAGCCCCTGAGAAGGACCTGACGGCCCTGCTATGCGCCAAAATGGAAGGCATCGACTCGGCTGTTGCGGAGATAGAGAAGATGCTGAAGGATTCGCAGCGCCAGATGGCAGCTAAGCCCCTCCCTGTTCTTAATGAGGAGGGCAATGCCGCGTCCACCAGGAGCTTCAGCGACGAGCTAAGCTTCCTTGGCGCCGTCTTCGTGGTCTGTCAAGTGGAGTCGGTGCTCGAGAGGCTCAAGAAGTTGCAGGCGGCCCCCTAATTTCCAGCAAATAGTGGTGAAGCCCACGCGACGGTCCCGTTCGTGGTGTAGTTCGATCGTGCCCCCCCCCCTGGACAAGCCTGCCGGCTACGCCACAGTGCACGTGTTGCTCGTGCTGCTCGTCGGCACGCTCGGGGCCTTGATTGGCGGGCCTGGTGCGCTCGTCCGCGAACTGCCGCGCGCATCGCCCCTCCTTGACTTCCGCCGTCATCTCTCTGACTGCTCCTGACTGCTCCTCCTCCGCGTTCTCCTCCTGCTCCACCATCCCCCCGTCCATCTCCACCACCTGCAGCTCCTCCAGCTCCTGCAGCTCCTGCTGCTCCTCCAACTCCTCCAGCTCCTCCAGTTCCTCCTCCTCCTCCTCATTTTCCTTCTCCTTCTGCTCCTCCTCCTCCTCCTCCTTCTCCTCCTCCTCCCAATCCTGGTCCGTCACCTCCTCATCCACCTCCTCCTCCTCCTCCTCCTCCTTCCATGACGACCGCCTGCCTCCCGGGCGCGGACCCGGATGCCGGCAGCCCGCCTGTGGCAGAAAGCCCCTGGCGCGGCGCCCGCGCGCGCCCCCAGCGCCCCGAGAGCAGCGGCCTGCCTCCGCCGCGCCCGTGGCGATGCCGACGCCGCCGCCGCCAGCCGCCGCCGCCGCCGGCCGCCCGCCGCGCCCGCCGCGCCCGCCGCCGCCCGCCGCCGCCGCCCGCCGCCAGCCGCCGCCCGCCGCCGCCGCCGCCGCCGCCGCCGACGACGACGACGACGACGACGACGACGGCGACGATGACGACGACGACGAGAGACGGCGAGCGACGACGTTGACGACGAGCGACGCGCTTCGGCGGAACCGAAGACGAAGAGCGACGAGCGACGACCAGCGACGCCAATGCCGACGACGACGACGAGCTACGACGATGACTTGGCTTAGCTCCGGCAATAGCGACTACAGGCGGTCCACCGCCATATCGCGCTAAGAAACTCAAGCTCCCAACAATACCAAACAAATATCTAAGCCAAAACCTGCGAACAATCTCACCCAACAAAAAACTTCAAAACATCTCTGAGCTCAAACCTGCGAAAATCTCAAACCCACAAGAAACCTTCAACACATCTTTAAGCCAAATCCTGGGGAAATCTCAGACCATCCAAGAACTCCAACAAATCTTTAGGCCAAAAAGCCAAAACCTGGACAAATCTCAAACTCTGACAAAACTCTGGCACATCTCTAAGCCCAAACCTGGACAAAAAAAACTCGCCCTGAAGAACAACTTGAAACCGAAACTCTAAACCAATTCTGAAAACACTCTCAGACATCAAACTTAACAACTCAAACATCAAATTTAAAAGACTGGAAACTCAAACAACTTTATTCAAAGCCCTCAGAGACTCTATAACAAAGTCCCAACACAGCGATGGCCGCCAAATAAGCCAAGCCTATAGACACTGCACACAAAACCCTAGAAACAAATAACAAAACAACTCGAAATGCAGACCCCGGCGGCCTCGGAAATTTAAACAACAAAATACATGGAAAAATCTCTGAAACAATTCCGGCCCCTTTCCAAAGCAAATTCAAGCGCGCACATGTTTTTTCCTCACGATTTCTCTGCTCAAGTGTTTCTGGAGCTTCGGTTTCAAGTTTTTTTGGGGTTGAGCTTTTCCCAGGTTTTGGCGTAAAGTGGATTCCCAGCCCTCCTTGGTTGAGTATTCGTTTTGAATAGTGCACTGTGGTCTCCGTCCTTTCTTCCCTCCTTCCCGCTTCCCTCCTGCCTCCTCGTGTCTTGCCCAGGGGGGGGGAGGCTGCGATCTGTGAAACTGTCGCCGCTTTCGAAGCCAGCTGGGGGGTCCAGCATAGTGACGTCCTACGCACTTGCACCCTAGACCTCGCCATCAGTGGGGGGCTGCGATCTGTGAAACTGTCGCCACATTCGGGGGGAGCTGGGGGGTCCAGCATAGTGACGTCCTACGCAGATTCAAACAAGACCTCGCCATCAGTGGGGGGCTGCGATCTGTGAAACTGTCGCCACTTTCGAGGCCTGCTGGTGGGTCTTGCATGATGACGTGCCACGCAGATTCAAATTCGACCTCGCCATCCCTGGGGGGCTGCGATCTGATAAACTGTTGCCACTTTCGAGGGCTGCTGGGGGTCCAGCATAGTGACGTCCTACGCAGATTCGAACTCGACCTCGCCATCCCTGGGGGGGCTGCGATCTGTGAAACTGTCGCCACTTTCGAGGCCTGCTGGGGGTCCAGCAAGATGACGTCCTACGCAGATTCAAACAAAACCTCGCCATCCCTGTGGGGGCTGCGATCCGTGACACTGTCGCCACTTTCGAGGGCTGCTGGGGGGTCCAGCATAGTGACGTCCCACGCAGATTCGAACTCGACCTCGCTTTCCTTGGGGAGCTGCGATCTGTGAAACCGTCGCCACTTTCGAAGCCAGCTGGGGGGTCAAGCATGGTGACGTCCTACGCAAATACAAGTTCGACCTCGTTATCCCTGGGGGGGGCTGCGATCTGTGAAACTGTCGCCACTTTCGAGGGCTGCTGGGTGACGTCCTACGCAGATTCAAACAAGACCTCGCCATCAGTGGGGGGCTGCGATCTGCGAAACTGTCGCCACTTTCGAGGCCTGCTGGGGGGTCCAGCATAGTGACGTCCTACGCAGACTCGAAATCGACCTCGCCATCCCTGGGGGGCTGCGATCTGTGAAGCTGTCGCCACTTTCGAAGCCAGCTGGGGGGTCCAGCATGATGACGTGCTACGCAGATTCAAATTCGACCTCGCCATCCCTGGTGGGGCTGCGATCTGTGAAACTGCCGCCACGTTCGAGGCCTGCTGGGGGGTCCAGCATGATGACCTGCTATGCAGATTCCCCCCCCCAAAAAAAAGACCTCGACATCCCTGGGGGTCTGCAGTCTGTGAAACTGCCGCCACTTTCGAGGGCTGCTGGGGAGTCCAGCATAGTGACGTCCTACGCAGATTCAAACAAGACCTCGCCATCCCTGGGGGTCGGCGATCTGTGGAACTGCCGCGGCTTTCGAGGTCTGCTGGGGGGTCCAGCATAGTGACGTCCTACGCAGATTCAAGTTAGACCTCGCCATCCCTGGGGGGCTGCGATATGTGAAACTGTCGCCACGTTCGAGGGCTGCTGGGGGGTCCAGCATGATGACGTCCTACGCAGATTCGAACTCGACCTCGCCATCTCTGTGGGGCTGCGATCAGTGAAACTGTCCACATATTCGAGGGCTTATGGGGGGTCCAGCATAGTGATGTGCTACGCACGTGACTCAACCTCGCCATCCCTGGGAGGGGGGGGGGGGGCGATCTGTGAAACCGTCGGCACGTTCGAGGTCTGCCAGGGGCCCAGCATAGTGACGTCCTACGCAGATTCGAATTCGACCTCGCCATCCCTGGGGGGCTGCGATCAGTGAAACTGTCGCCACTTTCGAGGGCTGCTGGGGGGTCCAGCACAGTGACGTGCTACGCACTTGCAACCTAGACCTCGCCATCCCTGGGGAGCTGCGATCTGTGAAACTGTCGCCACTTTCGAGGGCTGCTGGGGGGTCCAGCATGATGACGTGCTAAGCAAACGCAGATTCGACCTCGCCATCCCTGGTGGGGCTGTGATCTGAAAACCTGTCGCCACTTTTGAGGCCTGCTGGGGTGCCAGCATAGTGGGTAGCTGCCAGGACGCAATCCAGAGGTAACATGCCGATGCCTTCCCTCCCAACTCCCCACGCCTCTACCCCTCGCGCCCTTGCGTCCACGTGCTGCCGCTTCCGCATGTCAACTGTTGGAATTTTGGGGTCCATGATGGGGCGCGATGTGCGCGAGAGGTTTGCTGAATTGAAGCTCCATTGAAGGCCCCACCACGTTACCACCTCCCTATAATAAAGTGTCACAAACTACTCTTGCCCAGCATTGCGCAGGGGTCGGGTACGTCGCCAGGGTACTTGATTTGTTGTTGGGGCGGTGAGATTTGCCCAGGTTTTGTTTTAGAGATTGTTTCAAGTCCTTTTTGGGCTTGACTTTCCGGTTGAAGATTATCCAAAGAATTTGGCAGGTTTTCTCGCTGGACCTTCTGTAATATACTTGTCGAACTAAGACTTGGCAGGTTGGCTTGCACGGAGGGGGCGAGGGAACGTTCTGGGTTCGAGGCCCTCGGCGGTGTTCGAAGATGGGGGGGATGGGGAGGATGGGGAAAGTGGAAAGGGAAGGGGGGTGGGAGGGAGGGAGGGACGGAGGGAGGGAGAGGAGGGAGGGGGTGAGGGCGGGAGGAGGAAAATGAGATGGAATGTAGGATGGATAGGACATGGACTGGAAGAGATGGAATGGATGGAATGGGGGGGGGCAACCTTTAGAAGCTGTTTTCTTGAAGCTCTGGCAAGTCTACTTGCTTGGGGGGGGGGACGTGGCCCAGCAAGGAAATCTGGACTCCACGCAAGTCGGGACTCCCTGGCACGCCTTTTCACCCAGGCGCCGGTGCGATGGGTCGGGTGTTGCTAGAAGTGCCCCTGGCCCAGGGTGCACCCAGCTTTTCGCTCCATCCTGGAGCCCCTGGGATCCTCTGGTCCTCGTGAGGGGTGCCCTGAAGGCCTCCCGGGCCACCCCGAGAATCCTGGGGGTACCTTGGGCCGGCGGTACTTCCAGCAACACCCGAATGGGGGGGGAGTGCCATGCAAGGGGACCCAGCTCTGGAGGGGGGAAGCATCCAACTGGAATCGACAATGCATCGCCGATAGATCGCCATCAGGCCCCCGACAGCGAAGCCGTTCGGATGGGGCCATCGGGCCCCCACTGGCGGTGGACTGGCCGATGGGGGGACTCCCTCCCTGAGGCGACACCCATCTGGCGCTGCCCCCCGGATCGGAGGAGGAGGAGGACGAATTTGTTTTACTCGAAGAAGGGGCCTGCGTGCTGGGAGAAGAAAAGGTGCACAGTACAGCATGACCGTCGCAGGACCCCATCAGGTCCATATTCTCTCTCGGCGGCGCGTCTGGGGCACGCTCGACAACGCTGCTCGGGACGGCAGCCCGTGGTCGAGGTGTTCAGGGCCTGAGCCGCCCGCGGCCTTGGAGGAGGAGGAGGAGGAGGTGGAGGAGGAGCCCGCTCCCCCTTCCTGCTCCCCTCCTCGGCGCGCCGCCGATGCCCTGACACAGAGCTCGAGCTGAGCATTTGTTTACTGCGCTTTCGTGGTGGGGTCGTTCTCCCTCGTTCTGCCCTCGTGTCCCCTGTGCCGCACCACGGGATCACAACGAGAACGGCCCACGAACTCTCCAGAACACTGCTTCAGCCCAAGCCCGGCCCTGACACCCTCGCGTCGTGAAGGAGGCTACCGGATCCGCTCGAGCCGCCCATCGTCTGTCTGAACTCATGCGGCTGGAACTGGCTGCGGTGCCCGCTGCCCGCTGGAGTGGGAGCCCCCCCCCCGCGCAGAAGCCACCTCGCGCCCAAGGGCAACATGAGCTTCCCAACACCTCTTTCGCCCTTTCGTTTTCTCTCTCCCTTTGTTGTTTGTTCTTTTTATGTATTATCTCTCTCGCGCTCTCTCTCTCTCTCTCTCTCTCTCTCTCTCTCTCAGACTTGGAAGAAAGTCTAAGGA